ATATTTTAAAATTATTTTGTATTAGTAAGTATTTTTATTTTTAAAATATTTTTCAACAACTCAAACACTCCCTTAGTCTCTAATAAAAAACTGAAAAATAAAAGTCATTTTATTAAGAAAATTAAAATTAATTAAAGTAAATCTAATCATGCTATATTTATTTGTATCTGTATATTAATTTTATTTTGAAATCATTGGTTCACATTTTTGAATTATTTAGTTTTTTCTTTAACTATTATAAACAAAAATTATGATATTTATCTAATTGTATTTTTTTAAAAATATAACATTTACACATGTTATGAGGGGTTAAAAAATATTTTAAAAATATTTTTTTATTTTTTTATTTAAAATAATTTTCAGCAACTCAAACACTTCCTTAGTCTCCCATAAAAAAACAGATAAAGAAAAGTCATATCATTAAGGAAATTAAAACTAATTAAAATAAATGTAATCATGCTATATTTATTTGTAATTGTATATTAATTTTATTTTTCCTTTTTTTACTCCTAACAATATAAGTAAATTATATATCCTTTTGTATTTTTCTATTTTGTTATTATTATTATAAATCTTTAATTAATGAATTATTAATTATTAATTGTTTGGGTGGAAGAGTTTGGGCAGAAAAACACAAAGAATAATTTTATTTTTAATAATAGTATAGAGTATAGATTAAGTGAATTAGGGATTATTTTTCATTTTTCCTTTTTGACTCCTAACATTATAAGTAAATTATAGATACTTTTAAATTTTTAAATTTTTAAATTTTATTATAATAATAATAATTATTATTATTATTATTTTAATTAATATATTATTAATTATTAATTATTTGGGTGGAAGAGTTTGGGCAGGAAAACACAATGGATGATTTTGTTTTTAATAATAGTATAGATTTATAATTTTTTTTTATTCAATTGACTCATTTATGAATTTGTTTAAAAAAAAAACCCGTGTAATATTAGCATAATATTATGTCCATAATTAATTAGTCTATATTTTGGCATATTCTTCTGCAATATGTATTAGCAAAATTAATGATTCCATAGACTAAATATTTTTAAACCAATTGACTCATTAAGAATTATCCGGTACTACATACTTATAATTAGAATTTCATTACCATATTTTAATTTTTTTTATTCAATTGACTAATTAATAAATTGGTTCCAAAAATTTCATTTAATATTACCATAATAATATGTCCATAATTAAATAGTATATATTGTGCCTGATTCAATTCTTCTACATTTTGTATTACCATAATTAATTTTTTCCAGAGTGTAATTATTTTTTATTCAATTGACTCATTTAAAATTATTCGGTACTACATATACTTATAATTAGAATAGTTATTGCCATATTTAAAATATTTTTTTATTGAATTCACTCATTTATGAATTGGATGGAAACATTATGTGTAATATTAGCGTATATCAATTTCCAAAATTAATTAGTCTATATTATACCATATTCTTCTACAATGTCTATTAGCATAATTAAATATTGAATAATCTTAATATTTTTTGTATTCAATTGAGTAATTTTAAATTATCCGAAACTACATACTTATAATTAGAATATATATTACCTAATTTAAAATATTTTTTATTTAATTGACTCATTTATGAATTGGGTCAAAGCATTTGGTGTAATATTACTAAAACTAATTAATATTTCCAAAATTAATTACTGTATATTCTGGTACATTCTTTTATAATTTGTATTAGCATAATTAATTATTCCATAATCTAAATATTTTTAAATCAATTGACTCATTTAAAATTTTCTGGTACTACATACCTATAATTAGAATATATGTTACCTAATTTAAAATATATTTTATGCAAATTTATGATTTGGGTCAAAGCATTCCGTGTAATATTACTAAACTAATTAATATTTCCATAATTAATTACTATATACTCTGACATATTATTCTACATTTTGTATTACCATGATTAATTATTCCCTAGTCTAAATATTTTTTATTCAATTGACTCATTTAAAATTATCCGAAACTACATACTTATAATTAGAATATATATTACCTAATTTAAAATATGTAAAAAAAGTTGACGTATTTATGAAATGTGTAAAAAATTGCGTGCAATATTACTAAAGTAATAAATAGTTCCATAATTAATTAGTCTATATTTTGGCATATTCTTCTACAATTTGTATTTGCATAATTAATTATTCCATAATTAAAACATTTGTAAATCAATTTACTCATTTAAAATTATTTGGTACTACATACTTATAATTAGAATATTCATTATCATATTTAAAATATTTTTGTATTGACTTGACTCATTTATGAATTGGTTAAAAAATTCTGTGTAAATTATTTTAATATAAGCAGTGGAAAATTAGTGAATTAGTTATAAGGTATATAAAATTAGTGAAATAAATTAGTCAATTAGTTATAAGGTACATAAATTAAAATTGGTAAAATCGAAACTATATTCCTAAAATTGTATTCTTAAATTATTAAATAAACTATATAAATATAAATTAAATTTGATTAAATTGTTAAATCGTAAGAGGATGATCTTAATTCGCAAAATAAAAACATAGTGTGCAATAGGAGTAAATTAAGAATTAAGAATATATTAAAATAAGAAAATAAATTAAAATAAGAATAAATTAAGGATATATGAAGTATAGATTAAAAAGTGACAAATAACAATAACGAATAACATAACAAAAGCAAGATTTTAATAGGTTAAATTGTTGACATATTCCGCATTATTCATCTCTAAACAGACTCGTCATTATTTGATTCTTCTTCTTTGGTAAGGAAAACAATGTAAGTAAGCAATAGACCACCTCTTCACAGAAAGTCCCCTGAAATTGAAAAAAAATAAAATAAAATCATATGCATCAACTAAAATTTTAAAAATACAAAATATTAAGATTAAAATTATAGTAAAAAAAAATATCTCTATATCATGTACTACACACTCTATAGAGTTTATGATTTCAGAACTACCTCTTGTCTCTGGAAGACGAACGACACGGAGCACTCTAAACCTCTGATGGAATTCCAGTGGAGTCAAGGATGAAGTTGTGTACTAACAATCTCGGTGTAAAGTTCAGCCGCCATTGAGAATTGGGAATCGTTGTAAATAAGAGAGTACAAAGGCAGAAACACTGCACGTTGGAAGCTTACAACTTTGGGATTTGGGTTTAGCACAATGAAGGGTTTAAATAGCAAATTGTTATGTTATTACCATAATTAATTATTAGGTTTGATTGTAAGTTATTATTCTTACATGAGTATTCATACATTTAAGAATATTAAAATACTAATGCAAAATATTATTACCATAATTAATTTGTTTTGCATTGGTTTAAAATATCATTCTTACACGTGAGTATCCATCCAAACAATTCTTGTATATAATGCAAAATATTACTACCATAATTAATTTGTTTTGCATTGGTTTAAAATAGTATTCTTACGTGAGTATTCATCCCAAACAATTATTGTATATAATTTCTTTAATCAATTAAACTTAGATATTACACAAATATCCTTAAGTTTTGGGGGAAAATTTTGGAAGGATGATTTTACTTTTATATATATATATATATATATATATATATATATATATATATATATATATATATATATAGATTATTATTATTATTATTATTATTATTATTATTGTTGTTGTTGTTGTTGTTGTTGTTGTTGTTATTGTTATTATTTTAATTTTATTTTATACTTGAACAATAATATTTTTATTGAACAATAATATTATCAATTATATTATATTATAGAATATAATACCATATATAATATTACCAATTAATAGATTTTATTTAATTTCCATTTGACAATTACTTACCAAATAAGTTTTACTACAAAAGTTTTGGGGGGAAAATTTGTTAGGAGGATTTTACTTTTATATATATATAGATTATTATTTATATATATATTAAAAACTTCGGTTAACCGACCTTTCGAACCGAATTAACCGTTAACCGAAGTTTTAAAATTCCTTTAACCATTAACCGAATTGAAAAAGTTCGGTTCGAAAACGGTTAAGCGAACTTTGTCGGTTCGATCGGTTAACCGAAATTTGCACACCCCTAGATGCAACATGCATGTTAGACAACTTTAGTTGCCTACGGCCAAAGGTTATGCGTACCTAGTTGACAAACTATCTTTACTGCATGCTTAGATAAGTTAGTCAATTGACATTTTAACATGCTTGAATTGAGTTGCGCCTGCAGAAAGCTAATTTTAGATTTGAGTTATTGAACTTACTGTTTTAGTTATTAGGACGGTCAATATACTCTATAACTTCGTCAATATTAAAGAAAGTATAAGTGTACTAATCTCATGCTTTAGTTTATTACTCTTAAAAAAAAAAAAAAAAAAAAAAAAAAAAAGACTTGACCCTACTTTTCTCAAGTCAATTATCAATATATCAAAATATACCGCATCAAGATATATAAATAAAATTTAAAAAAAAATGAGTATAATCTTTAAGTCTATATTAAATCAATTTATACAACCAATTAACCCCAAAATTAACTTCAAATTTTAAACCTATTTTTCTTTTTCACTTTTAAATTTGATTTAGCCTTACCTTTTACTTTAGTGGTAGTTGAATATTGAGTTAGGTTAAACTTTTTTTTTAAAAAAAAAATCCAAAGAAACCAAAGCTAACAAGCAAGGAGGTTGACGGTGGACCTGCTCTCACCATAGACCATAGTGGTGATGGCCAATGCAAATTGCCACGTAATATTGTTGAAAAATTCATGTACGTCCAAGTTACAAGTGTCGATATTGTTGAAAATTTCATGTACCCATTTAATTTGGTAGGTCCAAAAAATAGATATTACTATAGCTTTTATTAGCAAGGCTAAGTTAAAATAAATTGTATGGTAGAAAAAAATTGAGCAATGGACAGAATTGACATAACATAAATGCCAAATTAACGTTTATGCCATTATTTCATTTCTACAAGTAATATTTTCGCATTCTATAATTTTTGTTTTTTCTTGTAATATACTTTTCCACTCTCTATTTTCAACGTTTGCCCAACATTTCTTTACTCTTCATTCAACAAATGAAAGCGAGAGTACTTTTGATGCCACATTAAAGAACTCCATAGTCAAATTGAAGCAAAAGCTTCATTCTTCCATCTCCAAGGTCCTTCAATGGAGATAAAGCACAGAAAGCTATTGCCGGATAACCAAACTTTAACTTGTCTCAGTGATGGATGCTACCCGCCCTACGGGGACGGGGACGGGGACTATTTACCCCCTCTGCCGCCGCCGCCGCCGCCGCCGGCACAGGTGAAATCAAGCGGAAACGGTAGCGGCAACTCCAGGGAAATCACCATCGCCGCCGCATTAGTGGGCGGCTTCGTCCTCCTCATCCTCGGCTACTACCTAGTTATTGTGAAGAACTGTTTCGGGTGGATCCGGCGAAGAAGGCCCGAAGAGGGGCGGCGGCCGGAAGGGGAAAACCAAGAGTTTCTCGACGAGAACCGCGGCCCGGTCATCGACCACCCCATCTGGTATATCCGTACAATCGGCCTTCAACCCTCCGTCATCAATACGATCACGATTTTCCAGTATAAACCGGGCGACGACCGGTTGATCGAAGGAACCGAGTGCTCTGTTTGCTTGAATGAGTTCCAAGAAGACGAGACTCTCCGGCTGTTACCCAAATGTAACCACGCTTTCCACATTCGCTGTATCGATACGTGGCTGAGATCTCACACCAATTGCCCGCTGTGTCGCGCCCCCATTGTCTCCAACGCCGCCGCCGCCGCCGCTCCGGTCCGGAATCCCAATCCCGCCGCACCGGTCCAAGCTGAGAATAGAGCCGAAAGCGACGGCGATCGGGACGATGGTGAAGCTGGGAATCGCGAAAACAGAGAGGGAGTTGACGAAGAAGAAGCCCAGGTTCAAGAACCCGACGGCGACGAGACTCAGAAAACGGAAAGAACAGGCAACGGGAATGACGGTGTTGTTTATTGGACCAGTACGAGGAGGTCGTTGTCGGTTGGTTCCTCAATCGCCGCCAACATCGTTGATTTGGTCGAGCACGAAGCGTCCCAAAGTAACACCGGAAGGAATTCAAGAACTCAGAGAACAATCGGCGGCGGTTCAATTACAGAGTGTCTGCACAAGAAGCCTGTTTTGATGAAGAGATCATTTTCATACGCAGGGAGGCCATTTTTCTCAAGAAATCAACCAAACACACCGCCGAACTAGCCGCAAATCTGGGCAGGATGAATATAATTACCCAGAAAACTCAATTGGTTACGTTCCTGGTATATCGTGGACAAAGATGAATGTAATTGTACAGTGAATTCATGGCATCCATGCCGCCATTGCATTTATGATTCATGGTAATTAACGATCAAGAGACGAGGCATACATAAATGTCCTGTTTTGATTAAGCCTGCATTGACATGAGGCAAAAGTTTTGTCATGTGTGATATAGTGCGAGTGATTGGTGACGAGACACTCGAAATATGATACATAGAATTTGGTCTTGTGTTCATTAAACGGATAAGGTGGTGCCCGTGATGTCTGCACTGTATATGTAATTATGTATGTTTGTTGAGCAGATGTCCTTCATCGTACTTCTTATCCAATGTCAATGTCTCCAATTTCTTGGATGATTTCTATTTTTCTCATGATCCACTGCAATATGTAAAAACTCAATTACTTCAATTCTCTAAGCAAATTATTTTGGACATAAAATCCGCTCACGCTTGGTTCAATCGTTATGCTGTGGAACCTTGTCCACCTTGAAATTATTCTAACTCATAAAGTACATTATCTTATTCCATAAGTTTCATTTTTCTAACATATAAAGTACATCATTCTAACTCATAATATAAATTATTCTCTTATAAAATTCAACATGGGCGTTTTGAATCGTGTTCCATACAATAATGTACTGGAATCAAAATTTAGGCCCAATCAAAATAGTTCCAAATGCTCATTATAGCCCAGGAGTTCGTTACATTCTTTTTAATTGGAAGAAACATTATGACCCCTAAAACGAAGCCCTATTCCACTAATTTAATTACCCAAAAACATCTTCAATCCAACGGTCCAATTAAGACAACTAACATGGCCCTATTCGATTATCCCATCAGAGTTCCACGTTTGTGTGATTATGTTCACATATATTCGCAATTGTCCGTTTTATGACCTTAACTAGTAAAAGACCATATGAAGATAAACTAATTTAGACTTGTTATAAATATATATACTTAGTGGACATTATTATGTAACGGACATATTTATGTCCTCATTATGTTTACCGTTACGATTATCTTATATATATTCCCATGTACAATGTAAGTGATGATGATGAATGAAATCATTCCCCCTTTTCACTTTTGTCTATCTCTTTCTTCCTGCAAAGTTCATCGTTTAGAGCTAATGGCCAACAGGCATCTCACTTTACAACACATTATCAGCAGCTCAAACTCCGGTGAACGGTAATTTTATGTGTTTTCTATGCACATAATATTTGTTGATATATTTCTCAGATTATATGTTCTAGGTCATCGTCTAGTATGATTATATGATAATTTTTTTATCCCAATCTGCATAGTTATAATCATACAAATCATACAGTAATATTCAAGATATTGTGTGTGTATATGTTTTTTATTTATACTGCTTTCGGAATATCAGATCAAAACTGAAATATTCAAGATATTTTTTATTTTGCATATCAATCAGATTGATTTCATAAATTCGTAGGTTTCGCTCATAAATTTTTTTTTGATTGCATATTGTGTATATGTCTTATACTACCTGCTATCAAAAAAATATCTGCAATCTCAAACCAAAATCAATCAAAACCAAACCTATATTTGTGATCTGCGGAAACCTACCATGATTTGCGATCCGTCGGACGGCGACGGCGATTCTGGACGAGCGGCAACGGTGACACCAGTTCAAACGCCGGCAAGAGTGGCCTTTGGCATTTGAGAGCTTTGTCTTCTAAAATGGAAGTGCGACCGGAGTCCTAGCTATGGCGACTCCGATTTGCCGGCTAGCTATGGCGACTCCGATTTGCCGGATTGGACGAGGCCTGTGCGTCCGGCGGCAATGGCGTCGGTAACTTGTGCGCCGGGCAGCGATGGAAACGGCGGCTTGTGCGTCGGATATCGATGGAGGTTGTGTTGAATGCTGCCGCTTTGTGCGTGACCATTCTTTCACTCCAACGGCGGATCGATCAGAGCCGATTGAGGTCGCCGGTTTCATCGGTCCAAACTGTTCTCGCTGCGCCATGGTTTTTGGATGCCGCAGTAGTTTTCTTAATCTCTTTGGGCCAAAAGTACTAGGCAGAAGGGTTTTCTTTCTTTATGTTGCTTCCATGCGTTATAATCTCTTTGGGCCAACACAAATATGGGCAACATCAATTAAACCATCTCTATTTAAGCCCATTTTGATAAATAACCCTTCTCAATATTTATTCACATCCGGCTTTCAATGTTGATAAATCCTCTGGTACAGAGGCCCAGAAGGCCAAATCTCTCATAAAAAGATAATTGTTGTTTTCTGACCAAATACTCATGAATTTTATTATCTATGGTCATATATGCATGAATTCTTGCAAATGAAATCAGGCAATGAAATAAAACTGTCTGAGGCATTGTCATTATATTAGCATAATATATAGTTTTATTATTATGCGAATGGCAAATTTTTAAGAGGTGGATCCTCGGTTTTAGTCAGCCTTAATAAGTATATATAGATTTTTTTAAAAAAATCTCGATTTTGGCTGATATCACCAAGTGTGAATTTGCTGAGCTTGGTTTCAACGGGAGCAATTACTCATAAGTCCACGAGTAATGAGGCCTTGAAAGCTAAAAGCCCTAATTTTTTTTCCCTCTTTCTCGTCATTCCTGAAAATGACTCCTATGCCTTAGAGAAATCCCCGAAGGATGAGTTTAACTAGCAAATATTCCTAGCCCTTCCTTAGACACAATTTGATTGACTTAACTTGAGATTTCAAGATTTTAAAGTCAGTGACTGATTATAATTTGGCTTTACACAAAATTGTGTCCCAATTTAACTTTGCACCAGTGCCCGAAGCACATAATGTTGCTCAGTCATGCAACGCCAAGAGGGGCCGAGGAAGAGGTAAGGCCAAGGTGACAACAACAATAACTCTCGAAACCAAAATAATCAGTGAAGTGATCCATCTCGACAACCACATTCATATGATCATCATTCTGGCCCAGCAGCAAATATGCTTCAATTGTTGGTGAAAAAAGCACTGATTACGTGCGTGCCACACCCCGAAGCATTTTGTTGAAACCTAAATGAACATCACAATGTTGAATCCAACCAAGTTGCCTTGCCTGAAGCAAACGCTCTTGTTGGTCATATTGATGACCTACTTTTTCATTCAACATCTTTTCAGTGAGCAATTATTGATAAGGTTTCCTTTGTGGGTTCCAGTAGAGCTTCACTTTTACTCCATCAATTTTTTTATAAATTGAAATGCCTTCATCCGATCAAATATCCTACTTTGATCAAATATCCTTCATCTGATGAGTAGACATATGTTACTCGTTCTTTATGATCTAAAAAGATGGATATGATCTTGTAACTTATGGATAATGCCTATTTTATGGATTATCCTATGAACTTCGTCCATTTTTCGACGATTATTATGACATTAAGCATTAAGGCGGAGTACCAAGTACCTTATGCTCATACCCAAATGGTTTAGCTAATTAATAAAGTTATGGGCTATTACTAAACCATTATTTTTCAACATTTCAATGTGCCGGATACTTGGTGGGGAAATGCTATATTTATGCTAAAATTTTCGGCACACTGCATATCCTTATTCCCCCTTACATCTAATACATGGTTTTCAAACAAACATTTTCCAAATCTGCGTTTCTATTCTTATGAATGCAGTCCAATCTATTACATAACCACCATAGCGTATCCATCTAAACCTCCATCTATTGTCTCCAATATTTAAAGCCCCTGAGAGAGACGTGATTGATACGCTGACTGCATGAAGATCGGTTCACGGCATTAGGGGGAGATATGATCAAAATTGAAATGGAATGCCGAGAAATTTCATGAAATGATCTTCAAAAATTAAATCCACGTACCAATTAGACTGAACTGGAAGTTCAGAAAGAAATCAAACATATCTGCCAAATAATCTTTTTCATAAAAAGAGTGACTAGGTCCCATACATATTCCCCAAAATTGGACCATATATATCTATCAATACTCCTTGACGCCAGAAGCGCGGGAGATTCATTGGGATAGAAAAATAAAGAATCGACTAGATCTAGTAAAGAATTTATGTCACTCTTGAAAATCTTAGAGCTCTTGAAATATTAAAAAGTTATATCTTTAAGACGATCGTCCAGACGACGAGAAAAAGCCCAGTAAAATTATTCGTGCACCAAATATTCATAATACTGGGTTGCGGAACAACCAGATATAAATATCCTTGGGAAATGGCTATAATCTGGTTAACTTCGAAAACTACTTTTATATATATGGGAGAGATTCTTAAAAATATTGTAAGTTGTCGACAACACAGTTGCCTTCAAATTGCTCATATTATATGACAATCTGGATCCAGAACTAGGTGCCAGAAGCGCCTAGGTTGATTAATATATAAAGAGAGCAATTAAAGGCATATACAGCTCAACTCGCTAATATATTCCTTTTGTACACCATTGAAGTATTAACCCTGCAGGTTACAAATGGTGTTTGTATGAAGGAAAACAAGAATGATAAGGTGGTGAGATATAAAGCGAGTCTGTAGCCTAAGGGTTCACGCAGAAACCCAGAATCAAGTATACTCTCCCATGATAAATATTATTAAAAGTTCCGCTACATGATTGGCAGAATAATTCTAGATATGCAGCTTATTAAAGTCATGACCTAGAAACTATGGGTCATTAGACACCAATGTTTATCTGAAAATCCTTGATGGATTTATAATTCTCAAAAATGAAAGAGAGTAAATATCACAACACGTTTGTTGTTGAAGTACAATTGCTTTACTCAAACTTAAAATAGTGAAGCAATTGATTGAGTAATTTCCTCCTGAAATAAGGAAATTATAGAAATGAATATGTACCATTAGGTACTTATTAAGGGGCTTATTGTAAAATAAAGGAGATGGAAAATCAAGTATTATCTCGACCTGTAGATCGAGCATTTCCTTAAAAGGAATTTCACATACTATTTAGTCTATGTCCAAATAATCTCCCGCAGTAGATAAGGACCATTTTAACCTAAAAGGATGATTCAGGACCAGAAGTCCGATACTTCAAAACGTCATTTTGAATACCTTTTCTTTGAGACATAAAATTCCCAAATTCACATCTTATTTTTGTAATTTGTAAAGAGTGATTTGGTGATTCTCCTATAAAGAAAAGGAAATGATGTTAAATAATATCCTTAAGGTATAAAATACATCTTTCGAGAAGTCATTTGAATATTGGCATTATGTTAAACGCCATGACTTGGATTGATATATTATAAATCAATCTAAGCTTTAAGCATCTTAAAGCCTAAGGGATAATACTTGTTCTTAACTTCTTATAGATGTATTTTGTATATTATCATCTCGTTATTACTTTCTCGCTTTGTCATAGCGACTGTTAAGTTATGAGA